TCAGTGCAGAAGTCCCATGGCTTACGGGGCCACATTTCTTTCAATATGCGGAACCGACATGTCCAGGGCACTCCGTCAAGTTTCACAGACCCTGTGGATCAAGCCCAGTGGAAACCCACGGGTTTCCGCCGGAGTCAGATAGCCACTCCACAAAGAAATTGCAGAAGCGCTCTCCAAAGCGCTCTCCAAGCACCGGAACACAAAGTGTGGAATGCCCATCTGGAGCCTCACCTTCAAACACCCGGCCTTTGCTTTGAGGACAGAAGAACAAGGCCTATTATTTTTTTCTGGGGCTTTTCTTCGATCAGGAGTGACCGATCTATGCCAAGCAAGATACATCCCTGTGATCCCAGCAGCATGTGCCCATGGCAGGTCCTCGTGGTAGGAAGGCCTGGCTTCAACATCTGATACCAAGCAATCTGTCCTCGTCCCGACCCTTTGCCGCTGGCGGTTTTGAGCTGCTACATCCGAATCACGTGCTGCAAACGCACGAAATATGTTGGTTTGACCAAGCGAGACTTCTTCCGGAGCCGTCCAGGCAACACAATCACTTCAAGATGTTGCCACTGTCAACAGAGGTAACCAGAATGTTCAAGCATTTTTCTTGGTTGTTGGATGTGGGCCTACCAGTCAGGTGCAGTACTGAACAGCAAAAGAAGGTCTGAGCATGTAATGAGAAATGCTTGCAAAGCTCAGCCCAAGTAGCACTCCGATACGGGGGGAACATGAATAAACCAACAGGTCGACGAGGCTTTAGAGCTTCCCTGATCCAAACCTCTCTGGTCCTTTCCTGTGGATGTCTGGCCAATAGGCCTGCAATAGGAAAGTAAAGGAAAGTGCGTTTGTTATTTTCCGTTGGAAAGGGTCAGGAATCATCAGAGGGGCCATTGTTCGGGGGGGGGGCAGAAGGGGGATACCCTTTACGTGTAATTAGAAGTTTGCCGCTTCTGGCTAGCCGTGTTTTGATTCATGGAATGGCACCCCTTGAGACTGTATTGGCAAACGTATCGGCAATAGCTTTGGTAATTTACCCTTGTTTTGGTACTCTTGAACTTTGGGCTAGAAATGGACGTGCTTCATCCAAAACTCAATTCTGAACTCAAAAGAAAGCTCCAGCAATACTAAATCAAACGGAACTCATTTCCAAAATCAAAAGGAAGCTCCAGCAATTCTACATCAAATGGAAACTCAAGTCTCAAGTTTCAAGTTCACCAATGCTAAATCAAACGGAAAGTCACATCCAATCTGAACAGGAAGCTCGAGCAATACTAAACACTTGAACTGGACCTCAAGATGTTAATCCAGACACCCTCCTTTGTCAGGGGGGCCTTCACTTCTCGCAACACTCGCCATTTCAGCGGTTAAATCTGAACTGTCCAAAGTGTGACATACAGCAACCTCGCATTGTGAAACCTGTGATCCCGTCTTGTCATTGACAGGGTCACACAAGACCTCGTCCTTTGGGGTGGGGGGTCAAATAATTTCGTCCATTGGGGGGGGAGTCAACAAACCTCGTCCTTTGGGGGTCAAACAGGCGGAGCGCCTGGGTTGGTGAATCCTGATCCATCCAAGGGAAGGATTGAGGATCGCCGGTCAGCTCCTGGTAAACTGCCTGGTGGACAAACCTGCCACTTCATCCTACAAAACGCATCCCTTGACATTCACCGGCATCAAGTGGGACCTAAGTGTTTTTGTTTTTTCCTTTTTCCCAAACGACTCGAAATATTCGCTACAAGGCTTGCTTCGAAAAGTAAGACCGATGCAACATACCCAAGGCCTACTAGTCCTGTCGCCAGCATTGTAAGCATGCAACAACAGGGGTCAAAGTGCGCTAAACCAGTCATCAGGGCTCCATGTGGGCGGGTCTTAAAATAACGGACCCCCAAAACGGCAGCTCTCCACCCTTGGTTTCCCGTTGCAATCCGAAAAAGGCTACCCGTTGTAACAAAAAAAACACACAGGCCCATGCGCAAAACGGCTTAAATCAAACATGGACGCCGGTTTTAGCGGGTTTAGGTTCCCCTTAGGCCTTCTGAAGGAAGCCGAGATCGACTTTTTCCCCACGGGTCAATCTGGGCTGCGAGGCGTTGCTTGCCTCGGAGCGCTTGGCCCAAGAATTTGCCAATTCATCCGTTTGTTTAGCCTTTAATAATTTCAAAAACACACCTTCAAGAGGACCCTAAGAAGCCCAAACAGGCCCACACCCTCGAGCAAGAACGAAAAACACACTCAACCGGACCCTAAGAAGCCCAAACGGGCCCAAACCCTGAAAAGAAGAAACCGCCTTTCATCAGGTAGCAAACAGCGCTGATCTGCTATGCTTTATGTTGTCACATACTACAGAAGCGCATTCACGTGAGGTACTGATGGCGACGGTACACCAGAGTCTCACAAAGACCCCGATGGCTAGCGACCATGCACACGGCAAATGGCAATCACCGTAACACTCGAGTGGCTCTCGAAATTTCTGAAACTCCCTCAGTCTGCAGGGCATAAGGCAAGGGCTGTGTGGCCCCTGCACTCTCTCCATAGAAACCGGAACGAGGCATTCGCAAAGGGGTTGCTGTGCATGGGTACATTTGGGTTACCAGGGTTGATACGTGCCAATGGAACCGAACAGAACTGTCCTGGGCTTGCCCAAGTGTGGCAACATTTCAGGACTACCGCAGATGGACCAAAAATATGCGGGCAATTTCCCACGCCCTATGAATCTAGCTGTTGTCTGCTTGGAGGCCACCCCAAAATTGGGCTTGTTTCGTCGGCCAACCGAAGGAACACAACCCGTTCTCTGATTTACAGACAGACCCATAGGATAAGCCACACAATCAAACCTGGTATCAAAATGGTCTACCCACAACCATGTAAAGAATTAAGAAGGCGGCCGCAACTATTTCTGGCTGGGACTGCCCCTTACTAACCTTCATCTACCCAGGTTTTGATTGTGGCTCACATGCCGTATCTGACTGAGACTTGGTCATCGGAGACTCCGGCTGTGTCAAACCTGGCGCAAGTGCCGGCACTGCTTCGATGGTTGCAGCAGGGTCGTGAACAAAAAACAACCCGTTGCGGCCGATTGCATCCCTCGCCTCGGGTAAAAACAAGCCTCTTCCCTGGTGACCCCATTCAATTTCTTGAGAGAAGTAGTGTTCATGTCATTCCAACTCCCTCACTCCCTGACTGTCCCTGACTTGCTGACTCGCTGACTTGCTGACTCGCTGACTCTCTGACTTGCTGACTCTCTGACTCCTTGACTCCCTCTCTCCCTCTCTCCCTCTCTCCCTCACTTCCTCACTCCCTCACTCCCTCACTCCCTTGCCAAGAACATGACAAAACACATCTCACTCACTCACCCACCCACCCACCCACCCACGAACCCACCCACGCACTCACTCACTCACCCACCCACCCACCCACGCACCCACCCACGCACTCACTCTCTCACCTCCCTCCCTCACTCACCCATTCACTCACTCACTCACTCACTCACTCACCCACCCACTCACCCACCCACCACCCACCGTGACGCACTTACTCACTGACTCACGGACTCACTCTGTCTTCCTTCCACAAACACCAGGCACAGATGCCTCCGGCAGCCAGTCCTCCAATGGACATGTTGGTCCCAGTTCTGTACCAGCTAGCCACTTCCAAGCTTCGCCTGTTCTCACCCTTCGGGCCTGCGTGCGGCATGAGGTACGGCTCGTAGCCTGCAGTGGCCCAGCCGAATCGCTTTGTTTCAGACTGCAATGCTGTCTCAAGTATATCTCAACGTGTTGGTTTCTTTAGTCTTGCTTGTTCAGCGTAAGCCTAGTACGAGTGGAGGAAAGCAAACACAGAAACATAGGCATAATTTCACACACACACACAGAGGCATTTGATGTTTCGCGTGACAGGAAGTTCCAAACGCCCGGAGCAGCTTGATGTCACTGAAAAGGTCTTGAGAAAGCCACAGCTCGACACTCTGACAATCTTCCACATGTTTAAGCCGCTGGAAAAAGCAACATATTTCCGGTACTGATAGATTCCCTTTAAAGGGAAAAACAAATACTCATTTCAGCAAATGGAAGCAATGAATCGGGAGAAACAATTCGGCTAATGCGGGCTCTTCAACCCAAGTGGGCCTCATGGTTGGCTCGTGATCGTGCAAGGAAAGAAAATGAAAATCATGGGGGTTGGGGGGGGAGGGGAGGCGGGGGGAGGGAGCCCAAATAAAGCCTTATTGAATAAGGCCGTATTCAGACTTGTTTGGGCTCCCTCCCCACTGCCTCCCTCCCCCTCAGCCCCAATGAGAAAATGCCAACTCCCAAACAAAATATGTCTGTCAGAGGGAAATCTTCAGCTCCCAAGCCGGCAAGTCACCTAAGCAACATTGAAGTTTCCTCAAGCCGCTGACACAGCTTTCGTGGTGCTGACGGAGCTACGCCTTTTCCAACGAAGAAGCCAGTTGGACATCCCTCCGCCGGTCGCCGGTCCCATGGGACAGGTTGGAACAGGTTGGTTTGGACAAAAAACCTCGACAACAAACCTCGGAAAATCTATTGAACCTCGCATATCTCTTCAGTCTAGCCGCAACCTCAACCGGATCGTAAGTTCCAACTAGAGTTTGCTTCTTGGCAAAGTCGGGGAGCATGAACAGTTGCTTTCAGATCATTCTCTGGTGCTGAAACGTTCCTCCCTTATTATTAGGGGCGCATCACGCCGGCTAAAAATGGTTATACGTTCGGCAGTGTGTTTGATTGTGTTTGAAGCTGCTGCTTCAGTGTCTCTCACGGGCCCACAAGCAACATGAACCCCAGGAATCTACTTTTCAAACATCAATGCAACTGCCAAGGCACGCCACTCTTTCTTGTCTTCGCTTCGTCAATCGACGCGCGGATCAAACTGCTCCGGTTGAGTGCGGGCTGGAGATCTGTGGTCATTTGCCAATTGGTTTACATAAATTTGTTCGACAAAGTTCTGCCAGCTGCCTACGAGGCAGGCTGAGGAATCAGAATTCAATCATCAGATCTCCTCTTGGCGCACTCAAAGATTGAACTGCTTGAAGACCTCAGTCGGCCGTGTCTGAACTGGCTTCAAACCCGTACAGCTTGCGCCAGCCCTCTGTTGAAGACGGATCCCAACGGGAAAGAACCAAAAACAGACAACAACTGAGAGCATCTTGAAAAGGAAAACACATGGGAATATGGGTAGGGCCTGCATTGCGGGTACCGCCCCCCTTTCCATACATTAGAGGATCAATTCATACCCTGTCACCTAATGATTATCCTAGGTGTTCTGAATATGATTACTGAATTCACACAGAAACCTCATCAACATACAATCTACAGATGTGTATGAGCATGTACATGTATGTGAGCAAACGCACATGCGGGTGTACACATCAACATATAGGTAGACTTGTGTACGAGCATGCATGCACATATATATATATATATATATATATGTATCCTTCACAGCTACAATGTATATAAACACAATATGTATAATATATATATATATCACATACATGTGTCTCAACCATGCCCATTCCACACTTTGCTTGATGCCATATTCCACCCCACATTCCATCAGCTTCTCTATTCGGCATGTTCGATGCTTTCCAAACAACTTCCAGAAGAAAAAACACCAACAAAAGCACACATATCCCTACTGGAAGAAATACAAATCTAGTAGTGATAGTTCCCATCAAAAAAACAAAAAATAAGAAGAAAACAAATGGAAGCATCCTGCCGGGGTTAGCACCCACATCCAAAGAAGCATGGATTTCTTTGCAAAACGGGCAGACCATCTGCCCAAGCAAGTTCAAGCGTCGATGTCCAGTCAGAGCACATTTGCTTCACGTTCGAGAAGATTAACCTCCCATGGTCCTGGACTGAACTTCGCCTACGCGGAAGAGCGCCTGCTGGCCTTGGCAAAGATCCTGCGAAAACCGAGTCCTCTAACTCGCTAGGTCCTCCAGTAGAGAGGTTAGAATAAGGATACCCTTTTTTGCTGTAGTCTATTTTAGTTTTGGAACCCTCCCCCGAAAAAGGGTGAGAAAGGGCGCTACTGAGGGGCCTAGTAACACTCAACTTATGCAAGCCTGGAAAAACAAACACCAGCCTGAATTGACCTGCAAAGGAGTTCACGGAACTGAACATTGGCCAAGTATAGCACATCTGAATCACAAATGCAATGCCTACTCCCCCTCGCGACTGCTTGGAGCCCCCGAACAGAAAGAGACCACCTCAACAAGGAGCGGGGAGCAACATGTGGACCATGCAACGTTTTGGGTTCAGGGCACTAATCCCATCCACTTGACGCAGATCGCCATCTTGGCCACCGCGCCATCGTGGCAATCTCCATCTGCCTGCGTTTGACCTGGCAAAAACAACCCAATTTGCGAAAGGCTGGTTTTAACAAATCACGATGGGTGAATATAATTGGGCAACCCCTAGGGGCACTGAGGGAATTTGTGTCTAGTGTCTGGGCAATTGGGCACAGTATTGTGTCCAGATTAATCCCCCTTTTAGGTGGTTCAAAAACACAAAGAAATCACACAAAGGTCATTCTAAGGCTTGCAAGCCCCTCGTAGCCTTCTTGGCGGCACCGGACACTTGGTTGTGTGTGCTGCTGCCTTCAGGGTAACAACGTATCACATATTCTGTGCCATGGTCATGTTCCCTTAGTAGGAATCCTTACATCCGAGCGCGTTTGCGGTCCAAGTCATGTTCAGAGCAGCTCATTAAGCTGCCGAAGACCGGAAATCTGTACCAAACAATTACCAAGACGAACATCAATGAGGCATTTTGCCTTTCCAATGGTTGACCAAATCCTTTAATGTGTGTATTCATCCTAACCGCAAGGAAGCTGGCCTTTTGAGCAGCATGTCTGTTGCAACCCTCGACCTGCCTTACTCGCTGTGAGAACTGCGTAACCCACCTGCAGCACCTCGAACAGCATCTATCCAACCAATTTGGACTGGGTTTGGCTAGCATGGCTAGCGCCATGCGGTACCCATCCAAACACGTCGTTGCCGTGTGGGCTTCATGAGCTGCCTGTGTGAGCTACGGTGGACCTATGTCTTAGGGCAACATTCATGAACGAGCGATGTCTGCCGAAAACACAGCTATTCATACACCAAGTATCAGCGGCTACCCTGGCTGTGATCATTTGGTTGTGAACATTTTGTGAGCTCGCGTGAGCACATTGTCACATGGCTTCTCAAAATAGAACCTAATGGGTGGCTTGCCTTTACTTCCCCTTTCATTCACCACAACCTGCCAAATAGGCACACAGTCCCGTAGGCAATCTGAACTCTGGAGAAGTCAAGGCTTCCTGAAAGCCACGTTTGGTTTTCCAAGTTCCAAGTTCCAGGGTCAGCTCAGTGACAAATTAACACGAGCTTCAAGCGGAACACCTACCATGGTTGCAACAAACTGATCTGGGAGAATGCACATCCTTATGTGTATATACAAATAATATATATATATATATATATATGTGGCTATGGATGTATTTGAGGGTGTGTAACGCGCGACGCGTCACCAATCTTGTTACGGAGTTCTGTAGCGGAGGTCCTTGTTACGCAGGTCTGTAACGGGAAAACATTTCTTGACAAACATGAGTATCAGTAACATAAAGCAGAACAACGCAGAACAACGCAGAACAGCAGCAGCTCCCGCTCGAAAGTCGCAAGCACGCAAAGCACGCAAAGCACGCCTCCGCAGCTCCAGCTTGAAAGTTGCAACTGCCGACGCAAAGCCAAGTGATGGCAAGGGGGTCACAGGCCCGGGCTGGGGTTGGGTCTGTAACGAGGTGTGTAATGGCTGTGCTGTGTAACTAGGTGTGTAACGAGGCATAGCAAGGTGCAGTGCGCTAAAGCGCTCCTCCGCAGCTCCAGCTTGAGTGCAGCTATTCCACGCAAGCCAAGGGGCGTCGCGGGCCCGGGCTGGGGTTGGCTATGTAACGAGGTGTGTAACGAGGTATAGCGGCCCCTGTTCCAACTCTTCATCTGAATGGCAAGTTGCCTATTCAGCAACAGCATGCTCAGCCAAAATCTGCTCTGCAGGCACCAATGGAACACAACTGAGAGACTGTGCATGCATTGGGGTATGTAACGAGGGGCATGCAGCCAGCCAAGCGGTTTGGTCAGCTGAGGTGCGTAACGAGGGTGTGTAACGAGGGCTGTGTACCGAGCCAGAGGGTCTTGTTACAGAGGGCTCTGTTACACACCCCTCAACAAATCACTGCCATATAGGTAGCGGGGCCGTGACTTGTTTATTGCGCACAGCCCCGCGCCTCTGCGTCGCTTTGGGAATGCTGTCTTATGATGTTCTTCATCTCCGCCAAGCCCGAGGCCTTCGAGGTACTCAACGATGTTGCGGCTGAGTTTTCAAAAACCAAGGCTTGCGCATGGCAAATAAGAGCAGCACATCCTTGACTTAACCGGGTTTCGATTCTGGCTCATCTGATTTGAGCATGGCGAACAGGAGCAAAGCCCGCAACGTACTCTTGTTGCGAGGTTTGGAACCGAGTGAACCACTCCAATGCTTGACATGGGCCACGCCAAATGTTGATATGCCCCCTATGGACATGAGAAAACTCGAGTCCAAATTGGCCAAAGACAGGACATTTTGACACCTGAAGTACTTCACCACAGAATTGAACTGCTGATCTGACATGAGTCTTATCGACAAAAGCCTCAACTCAAAGGTTATGGCGAAAATTCGGTGGGGGGCCTTTGAATGAGGGGCAAGAACTTACAGTGCGGTCAAACTGCTGTACACGCTAAAACACTTTGCAAACAGTCCTTGGCACCTTTGCCACGTTGTAAGGCTTGCACAAACAACGGCTCACAAGCTGGACAATAAACTGCATTGTTTCCAACACCGGGTCCCATCAATATTCCGTCATGTCGTCTAAAAGGAACAATGCCAAACATGACAGTGATCTTTACTAGTCCATTGGTGGCAAATAGGGACCCCATGAAATGCTGCGGGACCCCTTGAAATGTTTGTCTCCTGATAGCAAGTGTGCGGGGATCGCCAGGGCTCATTTTTTTCGGGGACTGCAGTGCCATTGCGAAGAAGTTCGGCCCGGATGAGCATCCGGGCGTCGCCCTTCAGGCCGTACTTTGGCCTCGGCGCCATGCAATGCAACTACTGGAGCCCTTGGTGGTGGGATCGCCTCCGAAACACCTCCTCTTGTCAAGACTCAGACCTGAGATTCAAGCAACTACTAGGTCCTAAGGGTACCCTTTTCTCTGTAGTCTATTTTAGTAGGGGAACCCTCCCAACCAAAAAAGGGGTGAGAAAGCCTAGACTATGTTGAGAGCTCCTGGTGATCCACCATTCAGAGCAGACAACATTTGGTCACCAAATGCAAGAGACAGTTCTGCGCCGAGATTCGGCTCTGGGGTATTGCAGCCTACAGGCCCATAGAAAACCGATGCTTGGCCCCAAGTTACTTTTTCGCAAACGTGATAAGAACCGCCTTCTTCACATCGCGGCTACGGCTGGAACCTTTGCAGCGGTAACACATATTGACTGGACATAGCTCAAAAGAGAAACCTGGTCTGGCTTTGGCATCTCATGGAGCAAGAATGGAAATGGCCATGGGTCAAAATCCCGTACCCCCAGTGAACATCAACCAATCCCCACCAAAATAGGTACTAAAATGGGTGGTGAATTCACCTACCAACCAAAATGGGATCCCAAAATGGTTTTGACAACCACGGCCAAACAAGGATGACACAAACAGCGACAAATGGCCATTTGCCCAACTGTCTCAAGCTGAGCGGCAGAAGCCACTTCAGCACGTGCTCTTGGCAACAGGCCTGGCACAAACGTCGCCTCGCTCTGGCTCTGGGCAGCATTCAGGATTCCCAATGACATCCAAGCTGACCCAAATGGGTCGTATGTGAAACATTGAAATCTTCACGGACTTCAATGCAAACAGCCCAGCCAGCCAAATCGCCAAGCTGTCTGGTCATCCATGGCGCAGTGATATGGGAGCAACCAGTTAGTCCTCTGCATTCGCAAGACCCGAAGCATTCCGAGAGCCAAAAGGTGTGGATCAAGATCCACTTGGGCCGAACTTCGTCCCCGAAACACCAGGGAGGCGACATGGAAAGTGGGATACAAGGGAACTAACTCCAAAAAAATACCCCAGCTACAACACATGATGTCTATGACCTGCTTAAACGGTGTGTCAACAAAGGGATGTGGATGCCGCAACTAGTGAAAAGCTTGATCCGACCCCCCGATGTCCGATCCGCATCCGACCCCGCGCATCCGCGATCTCCAAACCCTTGGCTTACTTCGCCTCCATCGCCCGCATCTTCTGCTCCAAAGGCACTTTGCCTTCGAAGCTGCCGTTCAACTCCGCGCAGGTCGCCTGTGCGACGCGAAACCGCACGCGGTTTACCGCCATCCTGAGAATCCTGGGCCTGCCTTTTGAAGCAAAAGGACGTAGGCAGAAGCAAGCGCGCCTTTTGAAGCAAAAGGACGTAGGCAGAAGCAAGGACTTGCTCTTGGTTGCAAAAATCCGAACAGTTTACCCCAACAGGGACTCTCAGTAGTGCGCAAAAGGTGATGTTTGTATCAGCCCAAAGGGACATCATCTAGGCTGCCCTCAGATCCCTGCTAAAAGCTTAGCTTTTAGTGGGTTGAATGGAGCCATAAACCTAAAAACCTAAGAGGACGACTGAGAACCGCCAAGTAATGTAGGGAACCCCCGACCACCCTAAACAGCCCTAAACAGCCCTAAATCCAGCCCTGGAACCGTGCATGCAAGATATTCCATTTGTTTTCACAAAACACAGATAAATCTGGAAAGGTCACACATCTGAAAACACAAGCCGACTTCCCCGGACTATAATTTGGTATCAAACAGCCAGGATCTGAAGCCCTTTGTTGGCTGTATGTCCCATTCAGCACACCACGTAAGGTTTTGAGCTGTCTTGGGCGCCGCTCTGAAGGCGAATTCAGTGACAGGTTCTGCCTCACCGAACGAAGCCCTTGGGGATGCAAGCAGTAAACAATCCAAAAACACAGTCAAGCCAAATAAAGAAGGACCTCCAGTAGAGAGGTTAGAATAAAGGTGCCCGATTTTTCTTCTGTAGTCGACTTTTGTAGGGGAACCCTCCCAACCAAAAAAGGGTACACGGTTCACATGTTGCAGACATTTGTTTCAATCAGCAGTGCGCTGACGGTCCACCTCAAAACTTGGCTGAGCCAAACCGTCGCAGGCCAGGGGCAGCGAGTGGCAGCGAGTGGCAAGCAAGTTATGTGCTTTGATCTGAAGGGCGAGCAAGGGACATTTGGTGCCACTATGCGAGAAAGTGAAGCCTTGATATCATGCCAAATAAGAAGAAGCCTTTCAGGTTTGTTCTCTAAATTGGGAAAGCAGGAAAACAAAGAATTGACACATCTCCTGACACTGACAGCTTCCAACCTGTAGCGTATTCATACAATTTGGATGAGCTACGCTTGCTCCCATAACCGGTTTGCCGTGGGCAGCTTTCGGGACCTGACGAATCCGCTTCACGGTTGGCTTCCTGGGTTCTGAAGCAAGTCTTTGAAAAACAAACTCAAGCTAGAATGCATCCAGTCACGATGGAATTAACGCAACCAATTCAAAACCGCCATTCCAAACCTCAAGCAACAACTCCCTTGTAACCTACAAAAGTTGCACATGGAGAGGGGACCATACAATTAAAGCAACCAATTTGTTGTTAAACGCCGCCAAAAACCGCGGAAACCACGATGGGCTGCCTGTGTGGCGGTTGGGGCAAAAAAAGGAACTGTGCATGCGGCTTTCGGCAGGAGGCCCATGTGCAGTCTACTTCCTGTTTTGACACATCATGTTGACCCCGCATTCAGAAACCCGTCCTATTCAAAAGGGGGAGGAGGAGATCGACAGACCTCCAAACGTTTTTTGCTCATCCCGACTAGAAGGGGACATCCCCCATTGAGTCCACCAGTACTTGGATCCGGGGCTCGTTTTTTTTGCCGTGACTCCAGCCGACGCAGCATCTGCCTGGAAGGAGTCCGCCTGAGGGTCAGAACCACAATCCAAGTGACTTGGCCGTGGGTCAAAACCCAAATTGTACCCCCAGTGAACATCAACTAATCCCAACTAAAATAGGTTCTAAATTGGCCAACCAGAATGGTACCATTGGTTTTGACCCACAGCCACTTGCTGGTGCGATAGGGAATGACCGATGCAGGGCTTTGGGCATAAACCGGTTTTGGGGATTCCCGAAGAAAGGAAACCATGGGATGGATGGTTTATAGGGGTTATTTGTTCATTCCCTGCTGAGAACCGGACAGAAAACCGATTTGCTAACTTGGGGCTAGGAATTCAAAAGGAGCCTATTTATGGAAAGGAAGACAACCTGTACGGATTTGGGAAACGGAACCATGGCAGCACACACAACAGAACTTTGGAAGCCCACGCATCTGAGTTGCTCCAACTTTACCAGGGCACGCCAGAGCGGCCAGTCCGGAAAGGGGGAAACCAAACAGCTAGGAGCAACCCTGTCATTTTATCCACACCAGAAAATAGCCATGCCACATTTTTTGCAAGGGCTTTCGGGAAAGCCTGGCTAAACAAGTGCTTGTCTGCCTCAGCTTTTGAGCCCGGACAAATCATACCTCCAGTCCGCAGTCCGAGCAACTTTCAAGCCATGCGTCATGTCCTCCCCTTCCCCTGTCAAACCACCGGCTCCATAGAAGGGCCCCACAAGTGCCACAAGTGGGGCTGTCTGATGATTAGCAAGCAGAACATGTACATCTAACACCCGCGATTTAGACTTCCGTTTGCGTGCGTGCTTTTTTTTGCCATTGACAGATTCCCTAAAGAAACCAACCAAGAAACATAAAACATATCAAGCACATGATATCAATATGAATACAACCTGATCTTGCCACTAACCCCAGCGCCTGGTAGGCTGCCAGCATCTCCTTCTGCAAGGATTCGACGACCCTGCGAATGCTGGGCAGCTGAGAAACAAACTCATGAAGCGAGCCAGAATGGCTCGGAACCCCGGATGAAGTTCAACCCCTGTGGGGATGAAGATCACTTTTGAAGGGAACACCCCAGAAAGGACGAGTTTCTTCCGGGGTCAACATTACACGCTTCCCAACCATGCTCACTTGAGAGCAACCGTCAAGAGACCCACCGCTCAGACGTGGCGCGCAATAGGCTTGGACTCACGCAACGTGCCGAGCTCGTGTTGCAGGCTCAGTTGACGTCCTCTTCCTAGACATGGTTCCAGACTCATCTGATTCGAGACAAAAACACCGTGATTCCATCGGGCGATTCTGTTCGGATTAGAAAACATCTTGCCCAGCTCCGCGGTCCTCTTCCCGACTTCCGTTAACTCTTGAGTGGGAGCCATCCAGGAATGAGAGACTGACCATCCCCAAAGCCCAAAGAAGCTCCACGGGCAACTTGCGGCCGGGAAATGCGCTGCACTGGTCATTGCTGATCGCGCATGTCGCAAAATCAATTTTCTCCAAGGTGACCAAGCCCACATTGTGGTCCAAGCGGAACCCCGGGAAACCTTCACTGTGAAGGACCCAGTAGCATTTAAGTACGATTACCGAAACTGCCAGGGCAACGTTGTCCCTAGGTCAAGGCGAAACGAGGAACACATGTTTTGCGGACGGCATGTTCTTTGGCGCAAACGTGGGCACACCAGGCAGCGTCATGGGATGGGGGAGCCTATGTAAAGGTGAAACGGCCAGCTATGAGTAGGTGACCTTTTGCACAAATAGATGGCACTTGTATTTGTTGAGTTCCGGTTTTTGAACCAAAACCCAACAAGACCGGCAGTTGTTTCCAGTTGGAACACATTGAGCCTTTGGCCCAATGCTGGCGACGACAGCGGCGCCCAGGGCCGCCTGCTGTTGAAGAACTGCCGCACCATCCAGCGATATCTCCACTCCGCCTGCCGAGACGGCTGAACCAAGTGAGAGGCTAAACAACTTCCGTTTAAACATGTACGTACGCGTTGCACATGTGTATGTGTGTTAGTTGTTACTGTCACTATCATATTATTATTATTACTATTACTATTATTATTGTTATTATTATCATCATTATTGGAGCTACAGTATCCCAGGAAACTGGAAAGCCATTGGAGTTCCATGCGCCGCATGAGCCCGAACTCTCATGAAGCTTGGGCATTGACTGAGAACTGCTGAGATGCTGACTTTGGCTCGGTTGTGTAACCAAATGATTGGTTGATTGCTTGTGGTACCAATGGTACAAGATAGCGTTTTTTCTGCGTGGATTTGTATATATTGCTGTCGCCAGGGCCTGTTCTCAGTGCAAAGGAGGTTGTTCTGTGTTCCTCTAGAAAGACCCCCACTTGCCACTTCTTGGTTACGTTGCCTTTAATACGTTTTGGCATCTCTTGGCCGTCGTTGTTACAAGAAGCATCCACGTGACAACTTGAGTGACGCATCCGGAGGTGTCAAACTGGAAGGCTGGTAGGCATATTTCAGCATCACAAACAAATCCCCTCTTGGATGTCCACAACTCCATTGAGTTGCTGTCAACCATTTCTAGGGCCTTGTGTCTTTTTCTTCCAACTCCCCAAGTTGCCAGTTGAAAGGGGCTGTGCCCAAGTTTAAGTTGCCAGTTGCAGATCGGAATATGGTGCCAGCGATGTGCAGCAGCTTGGTCAGCATTGGCTTCAACTTGGTCAGCTGGTGCGTTCAGGGGCTCGGGGTTGTTCTTCACATGCGCCGTTTCCCCCGGCCCGTTTGGGCACAGGACAGGTGCATCTCCTGGGGCGCCGCCTGCAAGGGGCCCCCGGATCTCACGGGATCCTCCTCAACAAAGCCTGCAAAGCCGCCGAGCCCTCCGGGAGCTGAAATGGCTAGGTTGATCACTGCCCTTGGTTCAAAAAGCACTCATGTCTAACATGACTCAATATCACCTTGATTGGTCGTGATTCACTTCAGGCGCTGCGATTTGCAAAACCAGAAAAAGGGGATGCAGTCAAGCGGCGATCAAATGAATTATGACAAAGCGGGTTCCTGCAGCACTTAATTTAATTCCACCGCGGTTCAAATCTACCTGTCAATTGTCTGTGTGTGTGTGTGTGTGCACAACATCAACGCAATACGCCATCAAACAGAACAAGGCACGGTCGGACACGGGACATGCACACCTTGACACATTCACACTCACTCACACACACCCACACATGGGGGCCGGGGGTTCCTTTATTTTATGCACCCCGCGTTTTGTTTTTCTTTTATGTCCACCTCAACAATGCCCTCGCCTCGGCCAGCTCCGTGTTGCGCTCCGCAGCAGCCTGGGCCTATGGGAGTTGCGGTGGCGCTTCGTGGCGTCAAGGCGACTCTCCAAAATACGAAACTGTGAACTAGGTGCTCCAAGTAGAGAGGTTAGAATAAGGGTACCAACCTTTTGTTTTCCCGGTTTTGTCTATTTTAGTAGGGGAACCCTCCCCCAAAAAAGGGGAGAGAAGGGCACTACTGGGGGACCTAGTCAAGGAGCCAAACACATTTCCTTGGAACAGAAGCAGCCCTGGATCTTCCTTGGAGCCAAGGAGTTTGGGAAGGATAAGCCAACAGCCCTAGGGTGAAAGCCATGCTCCGCATAGCCCTTTGGTCCCGCCCCATCAAGCCACAGGCAATGAGCTGTAGATGGACAACATCCACTTCTCGCCAGTTGGCATAGGAAACACCCTCTGCGACAAAAACCACCTGGTGAAGGAGTTGTCCATCAGGAACCCTAAGGCACCAACCGATTGACTGCCTTTGGGGTCCTAAAAGACAGTGCGAGAACCGATCGGGGCCCACCACAACTGATACGGTACTACTTTTCGTTGCTCATATATGTTAGTGGATGCCCACTTGTCAGCAATTGCTGGATCACATGTTTGTTCTCCTCCAAGTGAACATGCAAAAAAACCGGGGGCTGGGGAGGGAGGGGGAGGGATCTCAAAGAAGGCCTTATTAGGGCTTATTTTGGCTCCCTCCCCCTGCGGTAGGTATCCTTGCTTACCTTCACCGATCAGAAGGGGAGTCATCCAAACCGGACGCACTGTTCGCTCGTTGATCCGTCTCGCGAGCCCATGCGCATCGCACTTAATGTGTCCTCGTTGTCCTTTCGTTGTGTTTGGTGCGGCCCCAACTGACTTTCAGAACCCATTTACTTCCATTCCAAAATCAATCAATCAGCAGACCGCAGTCAGCAGAAAATTCACCCAAAATTGCTCAAGGGATCTCAGCCTCTGGCTTTTTATTCGACCAAATTGCTCAATGGATCTCACCCATTGGTTCTTACCCGTAGATTTTTTTTGTTTTGTTAAACCTCTGTTTCTGGGCTGCCCTCCCATGTCCTGCTACACGTTTAACTTTTGCGTTACATTCGGAAACCCGCCACGAAACCAACCAAACAGCTCAAAAAAGGCGCTGAGTGACATCGGACGGCGAGTAACACAAACATTGAACCCGTCTCCGAACTTCTTCTGAACCAGTTTCCGCGAGCCGAACGGACTCTCCTTAGGTTTGGTTTAGCTTCGCGTTCGCTCCGCTTGGTTTTGCTCTCACCGGCCCCGGTGAGCTTCTTACATGAAGTGCTTGGACGGAGCCACTTGGGGACTCCAGGAACCCAAAGCCCGGGAGGAAAAGACCAGTAGAGAGGTTCTCACTGGCTGAGTGGATTGCCCAAAAAAAGTCCAAACTTTATATCTACCACTAAAATGGTCTTCCCCAAAAGTTTAAAGTTCATGAACTCAGGAAGTGAGGGTTAGAATAAGGGTGCTCCTTTCTTCTGTAGTCTATTTTGGTAGGGGCTTGCCCGCCCAACCAAAAAGGGGTGAGAAAGGGCACCTAGCTGAAAAACCGAAAAAGAGAGAAGCGCGGTGGCAGCTACCCAGCACGCCTCTGGCCCGTACAGCGACGCCAGGGCGAGCACCTGTGCTTCACCCTTGCCGCGGGAAGTGTTTTCCCCCCCCCCCCCCGGGTTTCCAACGCACAAAAAAATATAAATGTTGGGGGGGTGCTTCTTTTGCAGTGGCAAGGGTCGGTTTCAGTGGCTTCCCTTTCCCAACCAATCAGGAAACCCTTGCTTGGTGGATTGGTGGCCCCCGAGCTCAAGACGCCCTAGCCTTGACGCGACCCCGTGCATGTCCTGATACAGTGGGAAGCAAGTTGCTTGGGTCTCGCCATGGCCGTCTGAATCCACCTGGAAAGAAACAAACAACACTTGCAAGCATCTTTTGGGGGTCACGTTGAAAACGAACACACGCCTCCGATGTTCACAACCATATGGGCCCCAAGATCTCTGCATCCCGATCCATTTGGGTGTGGTGTGATCCCATGGCGGTTTTCCCATGGGTTCCCTTTAAGGCTCCCGAAAGGGTGAAAAGCCACACACCCATACTATCCAGAAGCAAATGGCCCCATAGAGCAATGGGGAACCAAGCACCTGTTGAATGCCCAGAAGGCCAACAGAACTCCAATCCAGCTGAACATGTCCCACCAGCTCAACAAATTTCTCTCCGGGCGGAAAAAAAGTGTCCGGGAAGCGATCAGGGACTCTACCCATGGGATTCGGAGTCTTTGCTTGCGCTTACGCCAGCAGCCAAAGCTGAGGGGTCGGGGCTTGGCCTGGATTTCGAGAGGGACTGTTCACAGCTTGGCTACGATAATATGTGCTAGCGGGAAGGACGGGACATGGCCGGAATTCGTTGACCTACAATCCAAGTGGCACCCCTGATGACTTGCCTTGAGCTCTTACTTGACTGCACTGCACGCCACACCTCGTCACATGCTTTCCCTGAGAATTTAACAAGTACTCGCCTGGGTTCATCCTTGTGCGGATCATTTTTGCCGGTGCCTGCAAAACAAAAGCCCAAAACTCGTTTTTGCAGGTGCCCAAATGTGTCCAAACCAGCTGCTTCCGGGAACCTGCACCTGAACCACTCCCATGGAAGAAGCTTCGCCCAAAAGATTGGCAGCCTGAAACCATCTTGGCCAGGAATTGGGCTAATCCTTGAGTCCACGGCTCCCGAACGAATCAAGTCACGCATGATACAGTCAACCGACCTCATATGCCCAGCCAGGGGAAAAAATGCCATCCTTTTTCTGGTTGGTTGAGTTTAAAGGGAACCCTGCCTGGAAAAAAGGAAGAAAGGGCACCATTGGGCGACTGGGTCACCCAAGGTCAACTCACAGGACAAATCGTCCACGTTTGAGGCTCCGCGCCCTTCCCAAACAGCTACGATCAAATTCAGTGGGTCCTGTTCGAAAACCCGTCGTCATGGGAAATCATAACCGCACCACCGCCAAACATTTTTCCGGTACCAACCAGATTTCATTCCCAAGCCAGTTCCAGCTACAGCACTAGTTTCAGGGCTTTTTTCCTGGTCTCGACGTGGCTTCCTCAGGTTACCTGTGGTTCTGGAAGCATTGGCTCATGGTTGCTTAAAATCCAGCTTCTGATACCAACATAGGTGATCCTCGGGCAGGTTCCGAACACTTCCAAAGTCACCCGGGAAAAGCATGCTTCCAGATTCCTTGTAAGACTCAAGAGGGAAACATGAAACAAGCATAGTTGCAAGAAGAAGAAAAAGACAAGTTCCCCACCACCTTTTTGTCTGTGTCCTTTGTCCAGGCCACCATTTTGAGGGCCTTGCACCTCCAAAACCCCAAGCCCCCCCCTCGGCTAAGAACTTCTCCGAGCCGCGGGTTTGGCCGCGGCCGCGGCTTCGGAGCCGCGGTCCCGCTCCGCGAGGTGCCGCAACAGGCCTCCGCGTCCGCGAGCGAAGCGAAGCGAAGCGCCAGCCGCGAGCCGGGAGGGCGGTGTTGGGTGCGGCTTGCGGTTTTTTCGAAACCAAGGGCTGGCTATGAGCTGTGGGTCTCAATGACGTTTTGAGGGGGTGGTTTAGACCCATCTTCCTTTTAAACAGGGATCCGGATGCATTATACACCTGAACATCGCCTAACGTAAACGGTGTTGTTTCCCTGTATTTTGGTACGGAAAAAGCCACATGTTTCAAATGGGCAAAAAGTATCTTTCAAGGAGCCCTGTGCAAGGCCCGGAGCGTTCCGAAGCACAAAGAACAACGAAACGCAAAGGGTCCAAGTACCTTGTGAGAAGGTACTTAGACACCTTTCTATCCCCCAAAAGCCATCTTCATGAAGTACTTGGACCCTCCGGGAAACACAAACCGGCTCACCACAATTTGTGCGCCCTTCCCTGTTGGGAACTATAAATTAACCACAGGGGCCCGAAGGGACATCGCTCAAGCTTCAAGGATGCTGGCTCACCTCACTTTTCAAATGCAGTGTTTGGATTAAACATGCAACACAGCATGATGCTGTCCCCAGCCATACCAGGGACCAGGAGCGAACGTGCATCTAAATGAGATGAAAGCTGTCTGTTGTTTCCATGCAATCAGGGGGTAGGCGATTCATAGGTTCAGGCCGGAGCTTGAAATGCACGGCGCGCTTTCAGCATCCGCACACCAAGTGAGCCGTTGAGATACAAAACACGGCGGTTCATAGATCGATCAGCCGGCCTTGAAGCAATGGCAGCAGCTCCTGCTCGCATGGCATGAGTCCTTTGCCAAAGCCTTTAAGAAAGCCATCGCGCATGCGTGTGCTGTTCAAAACAACACCAAAGACCTCCAGTTGTGAAATCCCCTGAAGCATTTGTCTAGAGATAGATTCTAGTTTATATAAAACGCCAAAGAGGGGGAACATCAGCAAAGGGAAGGAACCAACCAGGACAGCGACCAAGCAGTACCAACCGAGGCTGGGAGCATCGAGAGCTGGCCGGTGTGTTCAGTCATGGAACACCGAGGTCACCCGCGGTTGTCGCCTTGCTGAACAGTTTGCGCATCAAGAACTGTTTTTGCATATGTAGACTCACCTCCCGAGTGGATGGCCCCAAAAGAGTAACCAAGCTTTTCATTGCCACGAAAATGGTATTCCCAAAAAGTGACTAGAGTATGATCGAGTTGCGCACTTGATGGTATCAACTCATCCTGCCCAAGCTCAGAGAGCTAGTTCTCGAGCGACCTGTATGACACATCCATGTCCCAAATGCCAATTGCTGAGTCTTTTCCCAAACAAGTCTGGTGAAAAGTGACTCGCAACTTGACCGCGACTTGGAAAAAAAGACTACCCTCTTCCAACAACCCATGGAAGTGGACAGAGGGCTTCCCCTGATAACACCACGAAGGCACCGGCTTGGATGCGCACGCTGACATGCTGTCGGGGAAAACGTAGTCCAGTCCACAAAGCAGGTCACACATGCTCGAACACCAGTGCCTTCCTCAGCTAAATCCATGGGTTGAACGCTTGAAACCCATGACTCGCTCTCCGACTCTTCGAGAGGGTTGTAATTTGCTGGTGCGATAAGCAGGGAATGAGGGAATGCCCCCTATAACTCACCCCTGCCTTTAAGGGAAATCCCGGGTGAATTCCCTCATTCCCTGCCTATGCCAAGGAAACCCTGGAGCTCTCTTTGCGCGGTCCTGTGGCTGGCCCACCTTCGCCCGCTGCATCAAGAGCCGAGTGCAGCCCTGAGGCTTCGGGCCGGATACGTCGGCAACTTCTCGTTTTTGTTGAAAGACCTTCTCGGTCATCCAAAATAGCGGTAGACACCGCGTAAAAGCTTACCCTCCAGGTCAACCAAACCAAGCACTTCTAGGCTGTGCCAGGTGGCCAGGTGTCGTCGCTTTGTCAGTATTTGGGAATGGCGGTCTAGCAAGCTCTGGAGCATGTTGTATCTCTCTCCATATTATAATATGATCCAGTGGGTTCAAGGCAACACCCCTTCAAGAATGCCTGCGCTGGTTGCCACTACACGCAAAGGTCAAACTTGCTGGCGTTAGACACTGCCGCGGAACCAAAGAGAGGGAGGCAGAGAGGGAGGGAGGTGCCGTAAAAAGTGCTTCTGCGAGCCAGGAATTCAGAGCTCTAAAGTACATAAGGTTCAAAACAATGCTTTCCAACCTGTAAAACTTAGCCCAAAACAAGTGTCCAGATTCTGTCCGATATCGACCTCAAGCCCTCAAGCTGACTTCCCACACACACACACACACACACACACACACACACACACACACACACACACACACACACACACACACACACACACACACACACACACACACACACACACACACACACACACACACACACACACACACACACACACACACACACACACACACACACACACACACACACACACACACACACACACACACACACACACACACACACACACACACACACACACACACACACACACACACACACACACACACACACACACACACACACACACACACACACACACACACACACACACACACACACACACACACACACACACACACACACACACACACACACACACACACACACACACACACACACGGTCGCCATGTGACAAATGAATAAACAAGCTACTGCAACAACAACACAAACAACATCAAAAACATGTTTTTTTATTTTTTTAAAAAAAAAGGCCACCCATGTTTGGGGTGGTTGACTGTCAAGGGCTTTGTGTCCCCCCTCCAGACACCAAGCAAGAAATCCTCCAAGCCACAGGTCTGTGTACTGAGCGACCCGTGAGCCGCCCGCCGCCCGCCTCCCAGTCTTGGTCCTTCACCAGGTCCCCGAGCTTGGGGCTCTTGGATGGGCCTATGGTCGCAGAGTCAGCAGGTGAGTCACAACTTCAAACCCCGTAATGTTGACCCAGGATTAATAAACCCCTGGTTGATTAATAGGGGACCCCCCCTATTCATCAACCAGGGGTGTATTGATCCGGGGTGAACATTATTCAAATGGTCGCACTCCCAGAATCTCAAGAATTACCAAGATATCCGCACCCATGGCTGGGATGGTGGTCCCTGCAATCACCCGGGATTTGATTGTAGGTCGCTTGGGATTTGCTGTAGGGAATAAATCACGTTGCGAGTCCGGGGGGTGGATTTTTGCATCGGTTGGAAGGGGATTCCCGAACAAAGGAAACCATAGGATGGATGGTTTACCGTATAGTCATTCCCTCATATCCTGAGAACAATTCAGTAGGATCCATGGGGATCCAATTTTGCAATCTGTTGCAGAAGGCCTGATAGATGGAACTGGTTTTCCAGAATTGCCAGACATGTTTAGTCCTGAGACTCCTGAGATAACTTGGAAAAACACACACTACAGCGGCCTTTCACCTAAACCCAAGCAGGCCAGGTCAATGAGACATGCTCGGCAGGGGGAAGAACACTGTAACCAAGTGACTCTTCAAACGTAGACTTGACAGGCATGAGCCCTCCCCGGCGTGAACTGTTCGATGCTGGCCAACGAAAATTGAACAAGCATGTTCGACGCGTACATACAGTACTCACTGGCAACTGCCTGACACTCACTAAACACAGAAGAGGCCTGGGTCAACCACCAAGCCATTCTAGACCTCATCATCTACGACTTACTCGGTCGGGTTCGCTCAGCTTGCTTAGACATCCCGGCACCAGCAATGGCATGCCCAAGCACCACATACCTTGCTGGGCCACCCATGTTGGAGCTCGCTACCTTGGCAAACAAGATACTTAACTGTTTGACATAGTCCTCTTGTGAAATATCGGCGGGAAAACACACACACAAAACAAGTGTGACAAGACTATTCCCTAGGGTTCAACCCCCATTAAAAGAAGGTTTGACCCAATCAATTGGGATGAAAATCCTAACGTAAAGGTTGTTGTATTACTCCCCTTTGTTTTCATGGTGGTTTGAAACCCAGGGTATTGCTTTCCTGTATCTTTGTGGATTGGACACAGGACGATAGGAAGTCATAGCCATTCGGGAATTGGATGGCTCCGTTGCTCCAATTTTTCGACTGCCCGGTACCCGGAGCGACTGTCATTGGGGGCCATGCCTGGCTCCAGCGCAGCCGAGGCCGCAGCAGCCCTCAAGAACGAGCAAGCGAGGAACCAGCAAAAGACCAACACATCCTTTCCTCATGTGGGCGGCCCGTTCTTTCTTGGACAAAGAAGAAAACCTAAACCATCTTGTTTTGGGGGGGAGAGGCTAACAAAAACACGCACACCCAGGTGTTTGCCCGAATCAATGCTTGTCCTGTGTACACAACTCCGTCGTGATGTTGAGGGAATAGGCTTGCTGGCCTCGGCCTTTGTGGAAAAGCCCACTTAGTAAGTAAGTAGTCTCTGACTCACAGCGGAACTAAGGGAACCAATCCCGTTGCAGTAAACACAGCTATGGATTCAACGTTCGAGTCCCAAACCCTAAGTGGAGTGGCGGCAGCAAAGCGAAGAAACGCCTGGTAGCTGACTTTCAAGGGACCCCTTTTTTTTCCAAGCATGAAGCAAGGCCACTGGAGGTGAGATGGGTGTGGGTCAAAATAATGTACCCAAAATGGTACCTTGGCAAATGGAACCAAGGACTAGAATCTGCGGTCCCCTGGTGCTTGCTTACAGGGGGGGGGGCATTTGTTCTCCGTGTTTTGAAGTGAATCTGGGGCAATTCAAGTGATTTGCTCGTGAAGTTACCCCTCCCAATCAAAGTGTGATCACTTGGGTTTGTCTCCAAATAGGGGACCTTCGAAGATGGTGCCGCTAAAAACTCAAACTTTTGACCCATCAGATGCTGAGGCGGCGGCTCGTGCCAGGCCTTGGCAAAGTTCTCCTGAGAGACTTTGCTTTGAAGGCCGCAGGTCCGCGCCAGCCTGACGTCGGCGTTGCCGGTCAGGCAGCTGCGACTCACACGAAGGGCTTCATCCCCAACTCAATGGTGCTTAGTTTCCTAGGTCCTCCAGTAGAGAGGATAGAATAAGGCTACCAATTTTTTATCTGTAGTCTATTTTAGTAGGGGAACCCTCCCCCAAAAAGGGTACAAGGGCACTGCTGGGGGACCTAGTCATCTTAGCCACCACAGCCCCTGTGCAAAAGTCAAAGCTCTTTGCTGGTTAGTGGCAGTGGGCAAACACACACACACAAAAAAAAAGAAGAACAAACAAAAAACGTTAGCCGGCCCTTCTCGCCTCATGGCGCCTTCAGAGGTTGCTGCTGCCACCGCAAGGGCCTTGCCTCAGTAATTAACCGGGCTGACAACATGGGCGTCAAAATTAACTTGGCTGCTCTCAGGTCTCCTGCTAAAAGTTTTACTTTTGGCGGGTTCAATGGACACCGCCACTCAACCCTAACAAGCTGAAAGAATGGCTGGCTGGACCACCGAGTTAAGGGGCCCATTTTGAGAATCTCAGTAGGATGGGGCGGGGGGGCACTACTCCATGTTCAACTTCCGCAATGTTTAAAACACCCCGCGTGTAACCTTATACCCTGGCATCGGTTGGTATCGAATTTTCCCTCCGGATTGGTATGCAGTGCTTTGTCACTTCTCCAGCTCGAGATGGAAACTGCAAGTGCACTAGAATACACCTAGGGTCACCTTGGCAGCTCCAGCTCAAAAATCGTAATATTTCAGTGCAAGTGCAATTCACGAAGTACACTCTGGCAGCTCTTGTTCAGAAGTCACGACTTTCAATACAAGTGCAATGGTTGGATTCGGCGTGACGGCCAATGCTGGGGTATCGGCTTGGGTATTGTTCACATTGCAAATCTGATTCTGCAATCTTGATGTGTGCCAACAACTTCGACCATGTGTCTGCATATCTTCTACGGGTGTCTACACACCTTCAACGGGTGTCACATTGCTGTTGTTGTTTTGTCCTACGTATCGGTTTGCAGTGTTCCAGGTCCGCCAAACAAGAACAGGCTAAGGAGTTTGCCCTTATCCAACGAAAATTACGCATGATTTGTGTTTTGTTTGTTTATTCCCTATGTTGACCAATTTGGATATACACTCAATTAGGGGCCCTTTGGTGGACCTCGTTGAGGTGGGGATTCATGCCAACCAACCTTTGAGTGGGTTCCCCCATATGTGCGGCGGTCAAAACATGTGTTGTGGTTGGCTGTCATGGCTGGCTGGGGTGTCGCTCTTCAAGGCCCCCTGTCGCTACACACAGTGCCAGCTCATTTCTCGCATCTCGGCTGGAAGGTCTCAGCTTTTCAGCACCAAAGTAGTACATGAGGCTTGCCTCAACCTCCTTCCTTTCATGCCTTTTCCCCATGGGCTACTGCGGAAGAGATGGTAGTGCTTGCTCGACACACGGGACGGTCACTTCCCGCCGGCTCCTCTACGTCAAGGACATGCTCCTAGCTTTGTAGTACAAGTGTAGCACTCGAAGTACACGTCCGCAGCCCCAGCTTGAAAATCGCAGCTTTGTAGTACAAGTGTAGCACGCGAAGTACACGTCTGCAGCCCCAGCTTGAAAATCGCAACTTTGTAGTACAAGTGTAGTACGCGAAGGGGCAACTGCCTACCTGAAGGGATTTTGGGTGTCGCTCCATAATCTGAAAGGTGTCGCTTTGGGTGTCGCTACGGGTGCCGGATTTTTTCCCAGGGGCTGCCGGAACCCTACTTCAAAAGCACAATGCCTCTTTTTTGCTTGCATCGTCGCCTGTCCCCGCCAAGGCGACGGAGCACCTCTTAAACTGGAACGCTCAAACTGCCAAGACGAGATCCTTCAAACCTGTCTTGCGTCGCAGCCGGGACTTAGACTTCCACGATGTGTTCAGCACGTACTTCCGTTCCCATGCAAGTAAAAAGGTACTTACAAACATGTTCCATGGGGACTTACAAACATGCAAGCCCTAAACAGGGGTGTCGCTACTCAAGGCCCCCTGTCGCTACACACATGTTTTTCAAAAAACAGTTATGTCACGGCGGCCGCAATGAAGACCTCTACATAACGTGTTTTGACCCTTGCACATATGAGAACACGGGTGACTGGATGCTCAGTGTCCAAACACGCTCGCTTCCAACGCGTTTAGCTACCCAAGTGGAGACCCACGCGGAGTGAAGATACGTGTTCGGTGGTCTTACTCCGGCTTCCACAGATCACGAAGGATGGCTGCTGTGATACCCTAGGCGCAATGGACCCACTTATTGTAAACCATGGCCATTGTCAAGAACAGGCAAGAACAGTCCCTGCTGACAGGCTAAACAGGTTGATGAACATATTCAACACTGCAAGCAACTGGTCTGAAGCTGATAGGCACATAAGCAACATGGCGAGAACACCTTTCTACATGCCTAGCAATGAGATGCATTCTGAGATGTTAAGATGAAGGGTTGGTCATATCAAAGGGCATTGGCACGTGGTCCTCGGTGAGTGCCTCTGCAAAAACAGAAGCCCAACTACATGATGGCTACAAGATACACAAATCGCAACCGTATTCACGCGCAACTGGTTGGGTGTTCTGGGGTAATTGGGCCTGTGCATTTTCTTCCGGGATGTTGGTGGGGGGGTGGGCGGGTGGGGTTTTGCCAGCTCCAGTTTTCCAGTCGCAAAAGGGGCCCACCACACCCCCCCCCCCAAAAAAAAAGAAAGAAGGAACAATGAAAAGAAAAAGAGATACCCAAATGGCGATCAGTCGAGATGCTCAGCCAAAGGGACCCAACCAATGGGCATCCCGGCAGCTTCTCGCTTCCAACGTCTGATCCAACTGGCCAACCTGGAGGACGAACATTCTGCTGGAGTTGGATGCACCGACTAAAACATGGCCACTCCAGCAAGCGGCTGCAAGGTCTCTCGTTCCAATGGAATGGAACGGGAAACACAAGGTTTCTACGAAGCAACGGAAGAAAAAAAGAGAATCCTCAGCTCCCCAAAAGGTGGTGGGCTTGTGGCCTCCATGTTAAGCTGGGGAGTATTCCCAATGTAAGTGTCCCACTCAGAAGCTAAGAAAAGGCGGGCAAAATCCTGTACCCACAACCGAAGACCTCTACTTTGACTTTGAGCGTGCTCAAAAGAGGGAACCTATCCTTGGTGTGCAAAGGGAAACAAACAAGGAAACCAACCATTCGAAGGGTTCCGCCATTTGACTGTCTTACAATACGCGCCCCAAACCTCCCACAAATGCGATTGTCCCTGAATCACGAGTTGAAACAACCCCCCACAAGGTACTGAGCCTCAATAAGAGTCAGACTTTTGTTGTTTTTTCCCCAACAGCTGGAAGCTTTGGGTCGATAGGCCCAACTCAGCTCTGGCGTGGTTCGGAGCAGCTTTCAGGGAAGCTTCCGAAGCGGTCTGTCCGGCCGAATCTCCCGGGCGATTGGGGACGGGCCTGATTTTCGGGTAGCCTGTTTCAGGAAGTCAAAAAGGAGAAATGACAATCCCCTTTTTCCTTGGTTGTCGAAAAGCACATTTTGGAGAGATTGACAACCATCCCTCCAGCCTGGGCTGTCTAAAATGAAGGATTGACCAATCCTAATCTAGCATTTCCAGGGCAAAGGGGACCGGTCCCTTGCGCAACCCAAGGTAAGGATCTTGCGGGCTACCTTTGAACAGCCCAGCCAACCTGAAGGGGGTTGATATATCCTAGGTTCTCCAGTCGAGGTGTTAGAATAAGGGTACCAACTTTTTTTCGGTTTTGTCTATATTAGTAGGGGCACCCAAAAACCCAAAAAAAAAGGTAAAAGGGCACGATCCTGGGGGATCTAGTTTCCATCAACCTACTAACCAAAAGTCCTTGGCTTGGAGTGCCATTTTTTTTGGCGGCCTCCACGCTGGTGAGCCCATGCCGCCGCAGGGAGCTGGCGAAGGGCGGATTCATTCCGTTGACTTTTGTGGATTCCACCCGGAATTTGTGTCGTAACTTGTTGCTCTGGGTACAGGGTGTTGTATTTGTACTTGCTTTTTTTTTGTCAGAGGGAAACGGAAAAACGTAAGGGCATCGAGTCATCTATTGTCGCTATTGTCGGGGTCGAATATGTTGAGGCTTTTTTCTTTCTGGGTACACTCAGACTAACAGCCGGAAGCTCCCGCAATTGCCTCTGTAAATGAAACCAAGTCTTTCAAAGGGGTCGCGTCCGGGAGCTTCCATGTTAGTCTGGGGGTGGGTGATTTTTCGCCAAGGGAAATCATAAGGGAATCGTACCTCTTGTGGGGCCCGGTATTATGTTGAGGCCGGACGGCCTGACAGAGTTGACCGTTGCAATTTAGTTGCAATGGCAAATTCCCTCCTTGACGAACAGTATGGAAGAATCTTCAATCGGCCCTCCGTTAAGCGGTGGATCCGAATTAAGCAAGGGCACCTCCGTGCACATGTGTCTGGTAGACATGTTGACTGCGCGGATTGACACAAGCCATTTCAACCCCTGTGTGAAGGTAGTGGTTGCGACCTGCCCGATGAGTGGCTTCTTTCGGATATGATTTCTATCACCAATCTAGCTCCTGATTCAAGATCCCATGTTTGGCCAGATAAGTACCAGGCTAATGCCAGACTGCACCCTTGCGATCCAGAAGCCTAGACCCAGATATATCACACATATTCTATCTATCGCAACTTCAGGTTCAATTTTAAAGTGTTCACTGGGATGTTGAAGTTGAACTTCCGCCATGCTTCGTTGCCAGAAGCCTCCTTCCCTCCTTCCCTCCCCTGCTCTCTCCATCCCTTCCCTTCTCCCGTCCTTTCCTCTTAAAGATGTTGATTCTTTGATTTTTGATCATCTCAACCCCTCCTGTCGCACTCATTTCCTCTGCTCCACAGCACACTGCCCCAAATGCTTTCATTGATGCCCAATGATTGTTGTTGACACCTACATATGTTTGATGCTTATTCTTCAGGTTAAACAAAACAAAACAAACATCCACTCTTCGGTTTCCCTGGCGACCGAACCTTCGGCTGACTGACAGCACCTGCGCAACATATCGCTGACCCCGGCTGGCCGGGACACGGGCTCACCCTGGCAGGCCCAACGGGTTGAGCTTGCAGGAAACCAACAAGAACCCCAGGAAACGGGGGTCCATCGGCAAACGTTGGCCGCTTCCTGAATTGAGTTGGACCCTCTTTTTGAAACCAAGCACTTCGAAAGACTCGTGGCAGAAAAAAAACACTTGTTTTTTTCTGTTTTTTCTCGCACTCTGAAACCCGATTCCGACCTATGTTGTCAAAGCTTCGCCTTACAGCGAACCGCAAAGTCATCATGCTCAGTTCAGCCATGTGTCACTCAAAAATTTGGCGCCCTCAAAACGGGTAGCTTCTCTAACTCCTTTCTGAGTAGAGCACGCGCGCTCCCCGAGGTGCGAAGTCTTGCGAATCTGGAAAACTTCGGAAAGCCTCAAGAGTTCCAACAAAACCCGAAGAAACCCCGTGTCCCCAAAACCCGTGTCCCCCCAGATCCTACCCCGAATAAGGTCTGTATATTCGGCTTCGGCTTCTGCGGTTAGAACTTTCTTCTCGGAAATGTGTCAACACCCTTAAGTTTTCGACCAAACACTATTGACACAAGGGCAGATCCCATGTCTCCAGATTCTGGAAGTACCCATGGAGGTCTGTATTTTTGGCTTCTTCATATTTCTGAATCTGATGGAGGTCTGTATTTTTGGCTTATTCATTAGGAAACCTGCGGTGTTTTTTTGCACTGTCTTTGGACCTGTAAACAACAACTCAAGCTGTGTAACAGAAACAACAAACACACCAAAGTATTTGGCGCTTCTGTGTGTTTTGTTTTGTGAGTGGGAAACTTGAGGTTCTTGGGGAGCGTGTGACACATAAATGAGTTGTGCAACATAATAATAATAAATGGAAAAACATAGAATCATAAACAAACCAAAATGCAGACCCCATGTCCCAAGACCCTGGCAGTACCTGCAATGAGGTCAGTAAACAAGGCATCCAAAATGTTAAAAACAATAAAATAAAATAAAAACCGCAGAATCACAGGGACGAGGTATCTGTTTAAACCACCCCTAAAAGAGTATGCCTCAAAAGAAACACACCCATATTCTACGCCATGGTGGTGTTGGTTCAATCAAGGCAACCACCACGAATTAAACAGAAGTATGATTCCACCGAAACTAGACCTAAACTTTGCGCTATCCTCTCTAACATGAACTGAAAGGCTATGTGCACCTATCACGTTGCAGTCTTGGGCACTGCTCAATGGCTCCTGATCCGATCCCGCCAATGTCAAACGTGCTGGAGCTGCATCAATGTAGCTGAGAGCCACACCTCGAGTAGCTGGGAAAGCGGAAAGAGGAAGTATCAAGGTCGAGGAAGCATTTCTGGCCCAGCCAGCTCGTTTTCGTATCAACGTATGTCAGCGACCAAGTGCGTCTCCTTCCTTTTTTGGTGTGCCGGTGTCTCATGTGTGCTGAACCCTCAGAACAGGAATGTGATCTATCCTATGACCAGCAATGCGTGCTCATGGCTCGTCATGTTTTGCGTGAGCTAGTGAACTCAGGATGATCCGGGTATACTTCCAACAACTTCAGGGTCCGAGACTCTCCACAGACCACAGTATGGCAACTCCACACCACCAATGATGATTTGGGTAGCAGGCTGTTCTGTGTCTGAGGAAATGACCTATCATCATCCTTAACTTCATCAGCAACTGCAGCAACATCAACAGCAGCACCAACAACCGCAGCAACAACAACAACAACAACAACAACAACAACAACAACAACAACAACAACAACAACAACAGACAACAGACAACAGACAGCAGACAACAGACAACAGACAACAGACAACAGACAACAGACAACAGACAACAGACAACAGACAACAGACAACAGACAACAGACAACAGACAACAGACAACAGACAACAGACAACAGACAACAGACAACAGACAACAGACAACAGACAACAGACAACAGACAACAGACAACAGACAACAGACAACAGACAACAGACAACAGACAACAGACAACAGACAACAGACAACAGACAACAGACAACAGACAACAGACAACAGACAACAGACAACAGGCAACAGGCAACAGGCAACAGACAACAGACAACAGACAACAGACAACAGACAACAGACAACAGACAACAGACAACAGACAACAGACAACAGACAACAGACAACAGACCACAACGAACCCCGAACCCCGAACCCCGAACCCCGAACCCCGAACCCCGAACCCCGAACCCCGAACCCCGAACCCCGAACCCCGAACCCCGAACCCCGAACCCCGAACCCAGAACCCCGAACCCCGAACCCCGAACCCCGAACCCCGAACCCCGAACCCCGAACCCCGAACCCCGAACCCCGAACCCCGAACCCCGAACCCCGAACCCCGTACCCCGAACCCCGAACCCCGAACCCCGAACCCCGAACCCCGAACCCCGAACCCCGAACCCCGAACCCCGAACCCCGAACCCCGAACCCCGAACCCCGAACCCCGAACCCCGAACCCCGAACCCCGAACCCCGAGCACCGAGCACCGAACACCGAACACCGAACACCGAACACCGAACACGAACACGAACACGAACCCGAACACCGAACACCGAACACGAACACCGAACCCCGAACCCCGAACCCCGAATACCCGAACCCGAACCGAAACCCCGAACCTAACCCCGACCCCGAACCCGAAACCGAACCCCGAAACCCCGACCTCGAACACCGAAACACCGAACACCGAGAACAAGAGAACCCGAGACCACGAACACCGAAACACCGAAACACGAAACACGAACCCGAACACCGAACACGAAACAAACACCACACACCAAACACAAACACCAAAACACGGTGTCCAAATTTTTTTAGTGGGTGTGGTGGTTTTTGTTTTTGTTTGGATGTGTTTTTGTTTTTTTTAATTTTATGGATTTTTTTTTTTTTTTTTTGTGTTCTGTGTTAGTGGAAACCAATCAGGATGTGGGCGGTTTCTAATAATGTGACCTGCTCAAGTAAAAATGTTTGTGTTGTAAGTAGCTATAAGATGTTTTTTTTTTTTTTTCTTTTGAGCGAGATAATGAGATAATCATCAAGCAAGCATGATGTGTACATAGCAATATCAGAGAAACAATTGATGATACATCACAAACTGATTCTGTCCTTCCATTTTCTGCTCTGCGGTGTTGGGGAGTCTCCCCTACTTGGGCGTTCAACCAACTCAATAAGTAGATTGACTATGGTTATAACTGGGGTAACCGGTAGTAACCGGAGTTCGGAGTTAGTCCGCTTATAACCATGGCTATAACCTAACTACTTAATTACTGAGGAGCTTGAACACCCAAGTCGCCTGCTTGCCGTTTGCCTCTGCTTCGTCTCCCCAAACGGATGTGTGAATACTATGAACACAAAGCATAGGCGTCCGTTTTGCTCAGTTCGGTTGAACATAGAAAATGGAGGAATAGGATCGGAGGCGTCTATCAAATTTCAATGCGAGGACCCCCTGTCAGGTTGAATAAAGTAGCCCCTTCCGCATGAACACTGCAACCTATTTTGGGTCTTTTTGATGGTGCCCGTGCTGATGTTGTTTGAGAGGAAACGAATGGGAAACCGCTCATTTAGGGACCAACAAAGGGACACCTAGGATGGCAGAAAGCTCGCAAAGACCAATACCCGGAAGGTGATTTCAAAGTTGTCTCATTTGTTGGTCCCTAAATGAGCAGTTTCCCATTCGTTTCCTCTCAAACAACATCAGCACGGGCACCATCAAAGAGACCCAAAATAGGTTGCAGTGTTCATGCGGAAGGGGCTACTTTATTCAACCATCTCTCAAACAGGTATTTGTTTTTTGGGTTGCCGCCACTAAAGAGATACGCGGCCCATCGGGGAGGAGTTTAGTTGGCTGGTGCAGGGTTTGGGGTCCTCAAGACGCGACCTCAAGGGTGAGTTTTGCGACCTCATGAAGGTTCCTAGCCCAACGGGGCCGGTTCTCATTTCAATTGAATCAAGTTGACGGAATATCAGCAGCTCATATGAGCAACACTCCATACTGTAGTAAAGGGAACAACAAGGGCACCCCTCACTAGATTATTAGAAACCGACCTTGCGCGCTAAAATCCAAATTCGCCTGGGGTCACCACTCTACCTTCCCTGGCTGAAGCGCTGCATTCTTGCATTGGCTAGGCACCAGTGGACTTCGTGTTGACAGTACAGAATAACCCAATAATTTGCGAATGAACCTAGGGATTTCCTAGGAAACCATAGGGGCTGGTTTTGCTCAAGTCATGCCAACTCATTCCCTATCGAACCAGCAATAGCTGTCACTGCAGCTCATTCCAGGCTCCGCATCCAACTCAGGACCCCCGATCGAACCAGGCAGCTTGAACTGATCCCTCCGCAAGCTGCGGCTGCGAGGAACAGAACCGTATTCCGAGCTCCGAGCGTCCATCCTTTTCGGACTTCCTTTTGGCCCCAAACACACCCTAGGTCCCCCAGTGCCGGAAAATGCCCGAAAAAAAGTCGGTACCCTTATTCTACCAAGGGTTCCCGTACTAAAAAAGACCACAGAAAAAAATCGGTACCCTTATTCTAAGCTCTCTGGAGGACCTAGACGCTGCCTTTCTTTGGGCCCCAAAGGAATAAAACACCAGCCAGAAATTAGTTTGACCCAGGTGGATGTGGTTGTGGGTCAAACAAATTTGTACCCATTGTTTTTAGTTTGGAACCCTGGTAAGTGGAAACATAAACCAAAACCTGTGGTCCAGTGGTCCATATCCTGGTGGTTTAATTTTGACCCATACCCATGTCATTGTCGAACAAATGCGCTTTCTCCTCATCTTCGAGCTTCCATGTGCAGGACGTGACCGCCGCTGCCACGCTGCTGTACTTAGGCGCTTTGAGGGATTGGAGCGCCAGAACTTTGCATTTTGCCAAGGGATGTTGGGGCTGAACAACTTTTGACAAAACCGAATGGATTTTCCGAATTAAACCACTACAAGTTATTCACTTTTAGCAGGGGAGCAGAAAGCAACCGAGATAATTTTGTCCCC